ATATCTTAGGGTTCATTTCCCTAACATCAACTTATCTGACCTTTTCTGCTTGTCTCAGACATATACTAGTTATTGCAACTAAGGGAAACCATGGGACCTATGTTTCTTTGGGCCTGGCTTACATCACTTAATATAATTTTTTCCAAGTCTTTCCATTTCCTAACAAATGGGGCAATGTTCTCCTGTCTTAGCCTCTTAAGTGCTGGGATTATAGGCATGTATCACTACATCAGCTTCTTTGTACATTTTATTTATGGTGAAACATTCTTTTACTATTTTGATTTAATTTTTTTAAAAAGATTTTAAGATGCCATTTTGATTTTTGTCTTTTGTGAGTTCCATTTTCAAATAACATTTAGTGTAACAGAAAGCCTCACAGCCCATTAATCATATTTTGATTTGTATGTAGAAGTGTTCTTATGTATTTCAAATTCAGCTATTAAGTTATTAAAATACTATATTTCATTATGAAATTAGGTATGTGCTTCTGGGAAACTTTTGAAAGTTATGCTTCTTCCAAATAAACCCTTTTCATCTCTTAAATTGGAAATAAATAAAACAAACTAGTATGTATGTATGAATATATAAATGTAGTTTCTTATCTCTCTGGCATTCTAATGATTGCACCCAGAAGGATAGCAAAAAGTAGGGGCTGGGGACATGGAGTATTTGCTTAGCATATTAGATAGAGGTGTAGGGTTTAATGTTCAGTACTGCTCCCCCAATGATAGTAAAAAGCAACTTTGATCCAACATATATTTTCTTCCCCTAGTTGATACAAATATTTGAATATTCCTAAAGTTCAACAACTATAAGTTGATCCAATGTGTGTGTGTACGTGTGTGTGCGTGCGTGCCTGTGTGTGTGTGTGTGTGTGTGGTTTTTAGCCCAGGGAATACTTAGCAAGATCTGGAGACATTCTTGTTTGTAATAACACAGTGTTGGTGGTGGGTGGTAAGAGCTACTGACATCTAGAGAGTAAAGGCTAGGGGGTGCTGCTAAACATATTGCAAAGTATAAGACCTTATTTTTCACCTAACATATAAGAAAGAATTACCCAGCTCAAAATGTCAGTAATACCAATGTTGAGAAACTTTACCTAGATAATGTAAGGCCTCAGGTGGGCCATCTTAAAAAAATGTGTATTTAACCCATCACAGTATTTATAGCCCAAAACTGAAACTTAGTGCTAATAGTGCCATTTTATTTGTCATTTAAGATTATTATTGAGTCCATAGAACAACTCTTAAAATTCAGCTTGAGATACTGTTTTTACTTTCTTTTTGAAGCACAGAGAACAATTTATTTCCACTGTGTGATAGGTAACTAGAGTTTAGATTTCATTTCCTCCTCCTATTTGTCAGGTTACAGGATAGGGATTGCCTACGACTTCAGTATTATTTTGGAGGAATGCTTTTTTTATTAGTATAAATTAGGTGTACAGTTTTGGAGGCTTATTAGTATCTTTCTATACATATTACAATGGATCCCAATCTCACTTTCTTATTCCATTTCCCTTTCTTAAAATAAATTTCGGTAAGTTTCATTGTTATATTTTCATACATTCAAACAAACAACTTGGCCATGTTAATTGTTATGTACCCACCAGAGGAATTCTGTTTCCTTTTAATTTTAGGTAATGTTTGTATATCACCTCACTCACATACTTATTTTGAAGTGAATATCAGTATAAGGATATTTAGATATCTTAGTAACTTGAAATCGATTAATTTTCATTTTATTAACAGGGCCAGGAGAAGGTCTGGGAAAAATAATCCAGAGATTTCCACAGAAGGACTGGGATGATACACCTTTTCCACAGGGAATTGAATTGGTAAATGAGTATTATATTTTGATGATGATATTTTTCTTTCTAAAACATTGTATTTCTGTTTGCATTACTTTATGTTTCCTGTTAAATAATTTGATGATATTCCTGAAACATACTCCTAGAAATAATTTGTTCCTCTCTTATACCACTAAATCTGTTGATTCTGGAGTACTTATTCTGTACTCTTATTTTTCCCACTGAAGGTAAAATTCATATTTATATACTCAGAAGCATTAAAAACTCTGATTATTTAGTAAAAATCTTAGCCTAAATAGTTTACATATTACTAAGCAAATATTGTATTTTCTCTGAAAATTCCCAGCTTTTTGTATAGTGAAAACAAAGCAATAACACAGACAAGAAACTAAATGTTCATTTAATGGCTGCCAGTTATGGTTTGAGTTGGTCTTGAAATCACAAATCTGAATTCTTTCCTTGTTAACTACAGAGTTTGCAAGTTTCCTTTTTTGTTAGTCAGTCCATGGGTATTTAGTGATTGGATGTAGTTTATAATGGCCTGGCCATTCTGTTTATCTTAATACCATGGCAGACTCACGGAGGTTGGTAAAAAAGAGAACTAGAAAGATGGTCACTAAAGATTTCCAAATATGACTTTAGAGTTTGGTTCTTTAAACATCATAGAGAAAGAGAAAGAAGTGACAAAGAGGAATGTGTGTTGGCTATGTATGAGTGAGGGAGAAAGGGAGAGAAAGAGACAGAGACAGAGAGGGAAGGAAGAAGGGAAAGGGGACATTTTTATATCATGTTTAGGTTAAGATATATGTATGAACAGCTTTCTTCCAAATAGTTCTTGTTGAGAAAATCGTATGGCATAATATGACAGTTAAAGAGTGCAGACTCTGAGGATATACACAGTGGCTCACATCCATAATCCTAGCTACTTGGAAAATAGAGATTAGGGGGATCATGGCTCAAGGCTAGCCTAGGCAACAATTTTATGAGACCCTCATCTCAATGAGTAAAAGCTGGTTGTGGTGGTATGTACCTATTATTTCAGTTATACAAAAATAGAATTGAGGTTCAGACTTCTTATCTAGGCAAAAGGGCAACATTACTTGGGAAATAACCAGAGTAGAAAAGTGCTGGGACTGTGGCTGAAGTGGTAGAAGCTCTGCGTTCAAAGCTCAGTACTGGGAAAAAAAATTCAAGCTCTGAAGTAGGCTGCCTGGGATGAAATCCTAGGCAGCCATATGATATGACTTTTGACAAGTTACTTAATGTATTTGCTCATCAGAACCTTTATCCATAAAGTACTAATCTCACAGAGTATTATACAGATAAAATGGGAAAAGATGCACCTAAAATACATAATACCATACCTTCTATAAAACATATGTTCTATAAATGAGGTAGACGGTTATTTATTATCACTGTTGTTGTTGAAGTATCTCAGTATCTCACTCAGAAGAAGAATTGTTTATTCTCTTGTTAGCATGTATCAGAAATGTCTGTTGGGAATAAAATGTTGAAAATTGTAAATTTCTTCATCCTCATTGATGACTCATTGTACTTTACTAGGATGAAAGATACATTGCTGAGTACTTAGTTTTATTTCTTATATTGCAACCACCTAAAAAGGGTTGTGAGTTTATAGGCTCACAGAGAGAGAGTAAATCTTGAATTTTGGCATTAAAAAAGGAGGACTATAAGGATCTAAAGGAAATGGCTGTTTAGAGAAACCCTTGCATTCCTTTCTGTTCTCCCTCACATGCCTTCACATACAAGTAATTGGCCTTACCATAAAAGGTTACTATAAAAGCTTTGACACTCTGATAGTACATCCTTTTTAGTGATGACTGAAAGTGGAAAATTGGGTGCTAGTGAACTGATTCCACTTTTCTGTAAGTTTGTACTTCCCACATTGAATTGTGGAGGTTTAGAAATGGTATCAGTTTGACAGTATGAAAAGTGATTCACTTTCATAGCTTTCTAGAACAGCAGACATTATGGAAGCAAAGTGAGGTCATGGATTCATCATAGCTGAATTAAAAAGGATACTTTTTATGTTTTGAAAACCAAGGGAATAGATGCTTCTGATATTTTTCAGTAGCAAGGAAGAAATAAACATTGATTTTACTACTTAGAAAAAAATATATTTTCCTCTATGTGATAAAACTGCTATATTCAACTGCTGTTAGTGCCTGTACAGGTGGAGTTAATGTCCTACTGGGTTAGTGAAATGGGGGTGTCAGAGGTAGACAGACTTTTTTTACTTAAGGCTTTCTTAGATGATATCATGACAGGTTTTTAGCATGCTATTTCAAAGTTTTACGGGGTATATTAATACTTAAAGAATATTTAAGATGTTAGATTATGTTGTAAATTTTTAAACTTTTTTCCTAATTGCTAATAGTTCTGATTCTTTAGTATATATTATGCTTCATCAAACACAAAATAAATTTATTATATATCAAGGTTCATTACAACAGAATAAATTACTGCTAATGTTTGTGGCCTCAAAATTATTTATTGCCTTTCTTTTTTGTGTGTGTGTGTGATTTTTTTTGGGTCCGGTCGTGGGGCCTGAACTCTGGGCCTGGGCATTGTCCCTCAGCTCTTCAGTTCAAGGCTAGCGCTCTACCACTTGAGCCACAGCGCCACTTCCAGCTTTTTTCTTTTTTGTTTATGTGGTGCTGAGGAATCAAACCCAGGGTCTCAGGCATGCAAGGTAAGCGCTCTACCACTGAGCTACCTTCCCAGCCCCTATTTATTGCCTTTCATGTATTAGGGATTTGTTATTATTCTGCATATAAACAGCAATAATTTAGATAACTGTAGTATCCTCCTATTGTGTCAAAAACAAAGACAGATATAATGAAATGTGACTCTAATTTGGCCCAGTCCCTATTGTGCAGTAGTGACTTTTTTTGTGTATACAGGCAAAGTCATTTTCTTTCCAATATAGAATTACGCGGTCTGGGAAGGTGGCTCAGTGGTAGAGTGCTTGCTTTGCATTCATGAGGCCCTGGGTTCGATTCCTCAGCACCACATAAGCAGAAAAAGTCAGAAGTGGCATTGTGGCTCAAGTGGTAGAGCGCTAGTCTTGAGCTGAAGAGCTGAGGGACAGACAGCACCCAGGCCCAGAATTCAGGCCCCATGACTGACCAAAAAAAAAAAAAAAGACAGAATTACTTTTAGTGTATGACATTAAAATAATTAATACCTAAACAGTTGTATAGCATGGATAGACTATCATTAGTTACATGATAGTAACTTAATAATTGGTAATCATGCATTAATTTACAAGTAAATAAACTGAGGCTTAGCAAATTTAAATAATTTTACCAAGTCTGACAGCCAGGATGCAACAGAGCTAGTATTCAAACCCAGGTCTTTAACTCTTAGTTTCAGTCAGGATGTGAGAGTATTCTAGAAATGACATTTTAAGCTATGTTAGCATTTATATTTTAGTATAAATACAGGATCTGAAAATAGAATTCTGTAATTTGGAAGAACTGAGGTTAAAAAATGTTGAAAGAATGCTGCTTATATTAGTCAGCTTTACATGACTATAATGAAATACTTGACACCGGCTACTTCACAAGAAGAAGGTTTATTTAGCTCATATGTTTGTAATATTGTGGCATATTGTACAGGTTCTGTGGCATAGAAAAATGGAAATTGGCTGCATAATCTGGCAACACAGATAGCAGGGGTGAGAATGTATGCAGAAGCAAGCAGGTGATAACAGCTTATACAAGGGTCATAAAAAATGGGATATTACAGAATTGTTCCTTTTATAACAGCCTTCAGGAGAACTACCAAGGAGAGTCCTACATGCCTCTAGTGAACAATGATCTCCCACTTCCCAGTCCAAGTTTTCTTGGCAACAAACTTTTGGGGGATACCTACATTATATCCAAATCATAGCACTGTATTATTGAATGGAGACCAACTTTACCTACTTAAGTGTATTTAGAAACAAATAGAGGTTCAGAGCATACTATATCGGAATTACTTTCTGTTGCCATCTCTTCTTCTCAGGTATCACCTATTTGATATAGGTAAATTCTAAATGAAAGACAGATTGGTCAAATCATTCTGATTGGTTAAATCAACATGATTAAAGTTTAATTTGAAAATTAAACTGTACAACTTGTAGAAAATAACTTTAAGCATTCACCCACTAATAAATTGAATCTCAAATGTAATTTAGAGGATACTGAATTCTTTACATTTTTACGTAAAGAAGTTATATTCTTTTTCTTTTATTTAGAAATGGTGCACTTTAATTTGGAATGATTTTAAAAATAAAAATATGAAAATAAGTGAAACCAAACATAATGACTGCCTTTCTAGTTCTGGGATATTTTTGTCTTTTTCTTGTGCTTTTTAGGCATACACAGAAACCACAGACAGTCATATAAATAAAATTGAAAGTTAATTTTAGTAATAGTATTTCAAAGAAAATTAAAGAATTGTTTGCCAGAGGTATTCTATAGTTAACAATCTATTCATGATTATGAGAAAAAATGTTTTTATTGGCTAGGTGTTGAACATCAACAATAGTATTTCTTTGGCACCAGTTCCTTTTTAAGGTACCCTGTCTCAAAAGTGAATCTTTTTATACTATAATTCAGAATGCCTTCACTGAGTCATTTATAGTCTAACTAATTTTCATAGAAGACCAAAGTACCGTGATTATCTTGTGGCATGAAAAAGAATAAACAGTCAGAATTTCTGAATTTGAAGTTCTTAAGAAATTAGTTAAATTACATTCTACTGATTTGATTGTCTTTTAGTATGGGAAGAAGAGGAAAAAAAGCCATATTTTATGTTCTGCAGATAGATGTAACTAAGAAGTGTCTTGAATATGGGATGCTATTTGAGAGCAGAGAAGTAACTACAAGTTCCATGTAATGCTTTAATTGTTTAAACTGTTTAGAATATGTCAAATATAATAGATGGGGCAGCAGCTGTGCATCCAACCGAGATACAAATACTGTTTGGCCTGGGGATTGAGTCAAAAGAACATAAGAGAA